TTCTGACTCATAGCGACCCTGTACAGGGTTTCCGAGGCTGTAAATCTTTACGGGAGCAGAGAGCCTCATCTTTCTCTCACAGAACAGCTGGTAGTTTTGAACTGCTGACTGTGAGATTAGCAGCCCGATTCATAACCACTACACAACCAGAGTATATAAAACATATATTATATCATAAAATACTATTAAATGGCACCTGTTTTCTTTTGCACCTAATGAATACCAGGTTAACATAACAATCATATATATCGCATACAGGATAATTCAGTATGAATCATTTTGCTTAGGAGAACATTTACATTTTAGACAATAACAGCACTTTTGAGCAAATAACTAAGAGAGTGAAAAATACCTGAGGGGTTCCTCACATGGAATCCAGTTCACCTTAGGGTCTGGGATATTCTCCAAATATGGGAAAATCGTTTCCCTGCTAAAGTTCCAGCCATACAGTGCATCTTCTGGAGTCACAATGATTTGAGCACCCTGTTCAAAGCAAGTTAAATCAAAACTATTCCTCCATGTACAACCTAGAAAATTCAACACCAAGGAGCCTCGATGAGGTAATGGTTACATGCGTGGTGGCTAACCTAAAGGTTGGTGGTTGAAACCCATTAGTTACTTCCATAAGTAAAGACCTGATCAACTCCTCCCATAAAGATTTCAGCCTAGGAATCCCTACGGGGTAGTTTTAATCTGGTGCTGTGAGTCAGTGTGCTAGATTGCAAAACTGGCTTGAACTGCAAGGCCGGTGTTCAAGCTGACAAACCATTCCTTGGAAACTCTATACAGAGTCACTATGGGGAGGAAGCAACTCAACAGCACTTAACAACAACAACATAGGATCGCTGTGAGCTGGAATTGACTTGACAGCCCCTCCCGTAAATTTAAATAGGAGAATACCTGTTTAGCTGCTTGTTTAATCGCATTTTCCAGCATATCTATATTCCTGTTCATCAGGAGAAAGGCATCTTCCTCAGAAACAGGCGTTTCTGTTTTGTCTGGCAATATGACAGCATGTTCATAGACTGCAGCTATGAAAGTATCCTTGGCACCGACATTCAGGATAAGAAGGGCAAACACTGCCACGGAGGTTGGAAAAGAAGACCTGATCATGACCACCATCTAGAACTTCTGAAAGTGAAAGCTACATCCATGTGATCTTAATAGAGGAGGAAACCTCTCTAAAACTATTATACTGCCATCTACTGGACTTTTATATAACTGTTTATAGAATGGTTAGGCTCATCTATGCCAAGAAATTTGGAAGACAACACTATCTGGCCAACTGATTGGAAGAGAGCTGTATTTGTGCCCATTCCAAAGAAAGGCAACCCAAAGGAATGCGGAAAATCTCTTTGATATCCCATGAGAGTAAAGTTTTACTAAAGGTAATACAGAAATGGCTGCAAGCATACATTGACAGAGAACTTCCAGAGGTTCAAGCCAGAAGAGGCCATGGAATGAGGGATAACATGGCTGATATCCGATGGAACTTGGCTGAAAACAGAGATGTTTAACTGTATTTTATTGACTATGAAAAGGCTTTCAATTGTGTGGATCATGGCAAGCTTTGGACAACATTGTGAAGTACAAGTATCCCGGAACACTTAATTGTGCTCATGGACAAAGGGGCAGTTGTTCAAACAGAACATGGGAACATTTAATGGTTTAAAATTAAGAAAGGTGTGTGACAGAGTTGTCTTCTTTTACTATACTTATTTAACCTGTATGCTGAGCAAATAATCCAAGAAGCTGAGTTAATATGAAGAAAAAC